CGGGTAGGACGCATTAAAGACTTGATTTCCCTATTTTCTCCCTGAGTTGTACATTTTCCTTATTTCCTTTTCCCTTGTAAATAAACCTTTTATTAACCTTTTGTGTGTGTCTGTAGTGGAGTATTCATAAGTCCCTTTTAAGTGCGCGGGAGAGGACCCACAGCCAGGAACCTGTTTAATATCTGGGCTGCTCTATAACAGCTACACCTGTGCTAAGACTGTGCTTTTTTTTTTTTTTTTTTTTTTTTTTTTTTAAGATTTATTTATTTATTTATTTATTCATACAAGCACTGGGCACAGCTAAGACTGTGCTTTTAAGGGTGGTGCACGGGGACACCGGTAGAAGCCGAAAGAGAAGCCCGAAGCAGAAGCAGAGAACGCCAGAGAGCCCAGGTAGAGTGAAGATTTGCTGGGGGCTGGGAGGACTGCCAGCCTCCCAGCCAGCACCCCTGCCTGCCATATGCCTGGTGAACCCCAATAAAAGACCTGCAAAAAACCACTGAGGACTCTGACTGCTCCTTTACCCGGTCTGCTGGATCAGAAAACCTGCACTGTGTCCTGTTCCTGACCTTATAGGCAGCTTTTATCTTGATTTTGATTTTGCTCTTATCCTTCTGGGCTTGTCTGGTTGTTTCTGACCCTTTTCTGTGGGTCCCCACTGGAAGACGCTTTAGACTTGTGGCAGGCTTTGGGGCCTTGCTCTGGGCCAATCCCCTATGGATGGAGTTTTACCCATGAGGGGATGGTTTGCAGGGTTTGGGCTGCCCCTCTCCCTGCCCTATAACAACAGGAGAATGAAACAGCAGAGAAAGCGAAAGAGTGAAAGAGAAGCCGAGACCACGAGAGCACGCCAGAGAGCCAAGAAAGAATGAAGACTTGCTGGGGGCTGGGAGGCCCCAGCTTGCTGTGTACCTGGTAAAACCCCAATAAAACCCTGAAAAAGCCACTGAGGGTTCTAGGACTCCTCCTTTACCCCGTCTGCTAGGATCATAGATATCCTGCCCTGTGGCCCATCCTGCTGCTACAGGGCCTCTCACCAGGACAAGTCTTGGTATGAGGAACATGCTGGGAAACCAAGTATCTGCTGAAAAGAACAGGCAGATGTTCTGTTCCCCACTCTGGCTCTGGTGAATTCTTTCACCCTCCCGCGCTTCTGACTGTACCCAGTGCTTGTATAAATAAATAAATAAATCTTTAAAAAAAAAAAAAAAAAAAAAAGGCAGGCAGACTTTATGGCCAGATTAGCATAACCAGCTACCTTAACAGAAAGTTAAGTGAGAACAGGACACAGAACAGCATAGATAGGATGCTGTGATCAGTAGGAACAATGGAACTCCCTAGGCAACAGTCCCTATTCACCCCTCTTAGCTTGTGCTAGACTATTATGCATCCCCAATACACATCCCCACCAGTACATTTCTCCGTGTATTTGCCCACCTTCCCTGAACCTGATCCTCAATAAATATGAGAATGCCCTTGAAAGGTGCTGCACTTCCTGGAGGTATTGGCCCCTCTAGGTCTCTCTACCACCCCCGAAGCTGCTGCCCCAGAGGCAACTCATTCCATTGCATTTGGTATACTGCCATTGGTAGCTTGAAATTGGTTGGAGGGGAAGTCTTTTAGAGTGTAGAAATCACAAAATCCTACAAAGCAAAGCAGTTCATGAAGTCTCTCTTGCTTTTTCCTTCCTCCCTCCTCTTCCTTTCTACTCCCTATACATCATATTCTGCAGTCCCCAATCTGCTCTTTGTGGACAGGCTAGATTGCAAAATAATCCTACAGCAAATATCCATGTGCACAGGCTTTGTTTCATCTTCTCTCATGTAGTTGCTCCCTTAGGAAAAGGTGAAAGGGAGTGCTCAGTTGCTGGGACAGTGAAAGCTTCACACCTTATTTGGTCACATAGGGAACTTGACCACAAAGGGCAGGTACCCTGGCTGGAATGATCCCTGGGTCCTTTCACATAGTGACCCTGGAGGGCAGGACAGATGGTGTGTTCTGTTGTCCCAGAGCCAGTTCTAGCTTGAAACAACAATCTTCCCCCTTGCCCTACTGTCTCTCCATTTCTCCACCCCTCAGCCAGACATGACTGCCTCCTCCACTTGAGTGAGCCTATGTAAGGTCGTGGTGCACACAGGCTACTTCTTTTCCGTTTTATGACTTCACAGATGGTCTATCCTGGAAAGTGTCCCATATGCACTTAGTAAGAGTGTATTTTGCTATTTTGGCTGGAGAATTTCATTGATGTATTAGATCTAGTTGATTTATAGTCCCATTTAAGTAGTCTATTATCTTTTTGATGCTGTCGTTATTGTTATTGAAAATGGGGTATTGAAGTTTCCAACTATTGTTGAACTTTATTTCTCCCTTCAATTCTGGCAGTTTTCCCTTACTGTGTTTTGGGGTCTATTCTTTACTGCATATATGTTTACAATTGTATCTTTTTGATAGGTTGACTTTTTAATCACTGTTTATTTCTTGTAGTAATGTTTATCCTAGTCTGTTTTGTCTGATATTAACAATACAGCCACTCCTGTTCTCTTTTAGCTATATTATATATGTATAGAGTATCTTTTTTCCACTTTTCCATGTGACTCATTCTAAAGTGAGTCACTTTAAGTGCAGCTTAACCATGGTATGACAAGTCAATGCAGTTTGGTAAATAGATCTTATCAAAGCTCTGGAATCTATTATATGCTTCCACATGTATAAAACACAGAAATAGGCACAAGTGACCTGTACTAACAGTCTGAGTTATCCCTGTGAGATGGAGTGGGTACAGAGAGCATGGGGGCTTTGGGGGGGTCACCCTCATTTGCTTCTCATCTAGATGGTGGCTCAGTGTGTTCAGTTTACAAGAATCTAGTCAATGGATGCTTTTGCTTGCACTCTTATGTATGTGCAAGCTATATGTATGCTATACTTACCTCACAAACATGTTAGGGTAAATAAAACAAATCCTGACTCAAGAGGGAGATTTTAAAAAAGGGATCTTGGTATGCATGAGTGTATATGTGTATGAGATCATTGATTCCTCTTGTTCTTTCTTCCTGGGAGGCTCATGAGTGTTGTGTTCACAGTATCCATGTAAGGAGTAATTTTCTGTGGATGATGTACTATGGTATTGCTACTTCCTTCTTAGAGAAGGAACTGTGTAAGTGGGAGTGCCTCTTCATACCAAGGACTTGGGCTTACAAAAGTAGGTTCACGCCACCCCCCATGGCGCAGGCGGTTGAGCACAGTGCTGTGAAGCTGTCTGCAGCCTCTGCAGCGTGGGTTTGATCCCGGCCGGCGAGATACCCACATAGCACAGCAGACCTCTCCTATCTCACCTGCTGCTCTCCTCAACAGTATATTTCAGTCAGTCTGCCTGTTCTGCTCTCCACTCTGTCTCTGGAGAATCCTTTCACCGTCTGGCCTGTACCCTGGTTCTTGTGTGCATGAATAAATAAATCTTTAAAAAAAAAAAAGTAGGCTCATAGATGAACCTACTTTTCATAAGAAATTCACACATAGCCTTTCCAGCTCCACTGTTTAAATATGGTTGAAAGCACAGAGGCCCATTCCTGCCAAAATCCCATGCTGGGTAATATCAGAATGTAGGCATATCTATTGTCATAAGAAGCTCCCATGGGCAGGAAGCAGAACAGTGCCTTACAATACTGGCAGTCCCACTGCGTGCTCCGAAAGGAGCTATCTCAGCGGGTCAAGGAACTTTGTAGCTGCTGGTCACACAGCTGTGTTCACTGAATGCAAATCTGGACTAAATATGAGGATGTGAGTACTTCCCTGATGCAAATATGCTGACTTGAAAGACTCCCCACAAGACAAAGTTTTCAGCTGTGCAGCCCAGCATTCCAGACGTTGGTGATGATGATGGCAGCAAGAAGCATATTACCAATACTCATCCACTGAGCACCTGCTGCACGCCCGACATAATCAGGCTTGAGGTTTCACCACCTTGAGCAAAGAACTACTACCCCCAAATTACAGAAGGGAAGCTGATGCTTGAAGTTGGTAAGTCTGCTACCTCCAGAGACTAATTTAACTGAAGGGCTATCTCCACGCCAGTGCTATTAGCTGCAGCTCTGGAAACCTGCTGGGTAGTGGAAGTGAAAATCCTGCAGTGAGTTGAAGGAGGTGTTAGGCATAGGGAATTTCCCTCTTGGTTAGGAAAACTGAGCAGGAAGCTTTTCAGTACTGAATGTCCCTTCCCACAGGTTCCTGGGACGCCACCCACTTGGGAAGCTGCCAGTCCATCCCTGAAATGAACAGTCACATGCGTGAGCACCCAGAGCACACAGGGGATGGCAAAGGCCTTTGCTTCTGTGCTGGTATGAATCAAACATCCCAGCGGGCGGGACTGTGTCAGGGTCAACAAATGTGCTGTGCTCATGGTGGAAACCAAGGACCAGGTGATGTCCCCTCTGAAAGGGATCAGTCCTGTCTGGATTACTACCAAGTGCCCTCTCCTCTTGGGGATCTCCTCCAAGTCAACTGCAGGCTCTCTTCTCAACCCCTTCCAGGGGCTTGTTGCAGCAATGTGGGCCAGCAGAGGAGGAAGATTCTTTCCAACAATTGAGTTAGAAAAACAAGCCTCTTTTGAAAGTTTCAAACTGAACAAGGATCCAGGCAGCTGCTACTAAAGAGAAACAGAAATCATCAGAGGGAACCCTGGCAGGGACACAGAGGCCGGGGGAGATCAGGTTCAAGAAGGCATTCTGGGAGATGACAGGGCCTCAGATGGCCTCCCAGAAGGAAACCCTGAGGTTTGGTGGTAGGCACTCAAGTCTGACTGAGGCTGTCAGGAAGGGAGTGAAAGAGCATCCCAATATTTACTGTCACCTCAGCCATGGTCTGTTCCCATGCAACCGCCAAAATGGGTTCAGAGTGCCCATGAACACATTCCTTAGTTGAGAAAACAAGAATTTGGACAACAAAAGATTGGCATCATTCAAATCCTTGCTTCCTAGTCAGGACAGCATAGTAACAGTGTGCCCTCGCCACCATGCTGCTGGGTGCTCACGATATCTGATGCAGCAGTGCCCTCCTCACACATCCCATGATGGGCCCCAGAGTGGATTCCTGCTCTCAACACCATCAGTACCAATAAATGCTTGTTGTTGGAGATCCTGGAACTGAGGTGTGTTGTTGAATCTTTAATCACCTAGGCAGTTACAGAACATAAACCACATGCTTTGTCTTTTTATTATTCTTTATTTATTGGTCCTACCAACGCGACCCTTTACCCAGGCCCTCTGTTCCTATGTGGGCTGGCTTTGCAGACATTTCTGCCATCTGCCTGTGTTTCAAATTGCGACTGATTTCTCCTTCTTATTTCTTTCCCATGTTCTGCCTCAGTTTTTCACAACTTGAAAGCATTTTTGTTTGGGTCTGTGTAAAGGTTCCTTGGCAGGAGAACATGCATATGCTCTTAAAATAAAGACAACATTCTGACACTAAGTAATGCACAGAAAAAAATACAGTACTCAGACATCATTGCAAATAAATACCCCGTACAGATGAAGTTATCGTAAATGTAACATTTCTTAAGAATCAACACTGTAAGAGAAGGTAAAAAAAGGGGCCCCTACAACTAGGAATAAGAAATGCTTATTCCAGGAAACAGAATTCTTTTTTATTCTTGCTGCTTATATTATTATTATAATTTACCCTTTATTTTGGAAGAGAGAGGACACTTTTTCTTCTTCCTCTATGAGTACCAATTTGACCATTCACCCAACTTCATTCAGCAAATCAGTACAGGATGCAGACCTGATTTGCTAAGAAGCTTCAGCGAGTTCTGTTTCCTGAAATTAACAGTGATTAGTTACACCAAGCAAGAGAATATATAACATCTCTTTCTCACATTTGCAAAGAATACTATGGCTAGCCCTCACCATGCTGACGAGGCCAACATTGCTGGCCCCCCTGCCACCCTGGCTCTTCACAAACGTGGTGTGTTGTTCACACAGCTTGCTTAACATAAAGTCCATTTGGTTCCCAAAGTACACTCAATATTTGTGTTCACTTTCGTTTTCTCAGCCCCTGAATTTGCAAGGATCTGCACAGTAAAGAATCACTGACTAACAGAATTTTGCACAATTGTTGTTTTCTTTCCCTCAATGAAGATGCCCAGGTTCAGGTACGAAGGTGTGTGCCCATTCACACCTATTGGTCCACACTGGCCTTCAGCATTCCCAACTAGTTCTTCACGGTCCACGTCAGAATAAACTACGCTGGGACACCTCCCTTAACTGATGAAGGCACTACTGGCAATGGTTACTAGCAAAAAGGTGTTGAAATTAACACCCTAAAAATCGACTGTAGAATTTTTCTAAGTGTACCACAATTTGGCACAACAACCAGAGTAACAAAACAATTCCAATTTGGAATTTCACTGGTACAGTTGTATAAAATTCTGTTAATCAGTCATGCTTCACAATGTCCTAAAACCCAGAAAATTCTGGAATTTGTAGGTAATACTACTCATTCAATAATTTATCTTTTGTTTTCAAGTGCCTATTACTGTGTAACCAGAGCAAAGGTCAAGTTTTCTTCTTGTTACATTGAACTATTCCTAAGAATAATAATAATACAATATGAAAAACCCCAGAATTGGAATACCCTGGATTTCTTAATGAACATGGCATTAAAAACCTGTAATTTCAAACATGAACCATAATGCCGTATAATCTAACAGGCTGCTGAACCACAGCGTGGACACGCTAGTGAGCGCCTCGCTGGCTTGGCGAAGCCTTTATCTAAGCAGCCTAGAGCTACACGCACAGAGGACACACCGTGCCACGTGCCCATGTCAGACTAACACATTGGGAGCTAAGACAGAGGGCTATAGGACCGCGAGACAGACCATGGCATCTGAGACTGTCCCTATGCAAGGGGTTAAGGAAGCAAATATAATATCAAAGTATCAAAAGTGCACAGGTTGATCGGATAAAAGGAGTATCTGTGACAGGGAGACTCTGTAATGCGAGTTTCTAGTGGGTTCCTAAGTGAGCCTGTGGTCGCTGTGAAGCAGGTTCCTCAGCTTTTGTACAAACACCTTTCCGAGAGCAGCTCATGGCTTCTCAACATTAAAGCTTTTTTTCCTCTCCCATTAAAAACTCGGGAATGCTATTTTGAAAAGAATTGCAGTGGTATATCCAATAATGTTTCTAAGTGGACTTTTGGACCGCCCTTCCTTCCTCTGCGTGGGCCCACGGGAGGGGAGGGGGGCTGCAGTGTGACAGGGCCGGTGGCCGAGTCCTCCTGGCAGCTACTCTATAGCTGAAAATGGGAGAAAACAAGACAACATTAGAACTGGTCATCCGTCAAACAGCAGAAGCCCCACTGAGCGGTGAGGACCTGGGCATGTTAGTTGGCAGAGAAGAGGTACCTGCATGTATTAGGGGGGCTGCCGGCCTAAGTGACTTGTGAAGACCCCTTACAAGTAGAGAGAAGCTGCAAGTCAGACTGGCAAGGAGGGCCGAGGAGTGTGTGGAATAAGCGAACAGCCATGCCCCCGAGTCCCGCTTGCGGGGGAGGATTGGGGATACCTGACCCTTTCTCAAGTGGAAGAGAATTCAAGACTGGGTGCCTGTCAACAAAGTAGACCCATAGTCAAGAATGGGGGCACACAACTTGCATCTCTCTGATTCTAAAGGCTTCCCAAATGCAGACGAGTCTGCAGTATCCAGAGTCGGTGGGGACAGAGATATGCTTGGGAAACAAAGGGAAGGGTGGGCTGAGGGCTGGGGGAGCCAGGGTGAGGGGCCACAGAGAGACAAGGCCAGGAGTCCTTCAGGAGGGGCAAAGGCAGGGGAGAAATATGAAAAGTTCTGCGTCCTAATGTGTGAACTCAGATGGCCTACTCGCGCATTGTGTGGAAGCAGCCCCAGGAAATGAAAGAATCTCAGGTTGCCTTTCCTGTCACTATGTGGAACTGCACTAACCAGACTCACATTCCTCCTGTGCATGCGCAAACCAGCCTGGGCCCAGGCATGGCTCCTTCCCAGTACTGGCTGGGCCCTTGCTGCAGTGTACAGCCTGCCATTTCAGCCCAACCACCAGGTTCAGAATGGGGATATCCAGAGCCCTGTCTCTTGTGGACTAAGCCCCTGGGAAGAAAGCCTGAAAATGGGCAGAGGACAGAGAAATCTGTCCTGAAAGCTGGGAATACCCTAAGTACAAAAGGATGGCTTCCTGCTGAGGGCAGAAGTCTGGTCAGGCACTTGGAAAGTTTTTCTCACTAAAAACACCCCAGGCCCTGGGCCTGTTAACTGTCACTTGACGGGCCACCAGACAGGCATGCAAATCCCGGAAAGAGAGGCCAAGGTTGTGAGCTCTGGTCTCGGGCATGGCCAGGCAAACTGTGCCAAGCCAGAGTGACCAGCTCCCAATGCGCATTCAGCTAGAGGATTCAGCAGCTTAAGGCTGCTCTTTCTCTGGGTCTGATGGGAGAAACTGTGTACTCTTATCCCAGATACAATTTGCAGTGAGATGGTGTACAAACTACAAAGTAACTCTCTGTGAACTGTCAAGACAGACCATCCTCTGAGGCTGCACCTAGGCCTTAGGCCAGAACCTCTAAAGCTGCCTGCTGGGTGCTGGGGTGGCCTGACTGCACAGATACATGCAGGGACATGCAGGTTCAGTTTGGGTTCTGCGCCCCCTCAGGAGCCAGCGACATCCAAGAAGGGATGCCTGATTTCGCCAAGGACTCGGGGTTTCGACCCCACCTTGACCCCACCTAGGAGAGCAGATGCTGTGAAGGGTGTCCCCAAAGGTGAGAAGCAGACACAAAGCTCGCGTGTCCAGGTGAAGCAGCGCTGACTTGGCTAGATCCATCCCTCTGTGCATTAGTCATGGTTAAGACCAGCCTAGCACTGCGGTCCCGCTGCTGCTGGGTTAGTCGAGAAGCAGACAGGTGACGTGCGGCACATTAGCTGAGCGTGAGGCTCTAATCGCAGTAAATGTTATATTTCTCACTGCAGAACACCTGGGTAGCAAGCCCGGAGCTTTCAGCCCTGTTGCTGGCACAGGAGCAGGCGTGACTTACGCTAGGAGTGCTGGGCTTGGCCTTGGGGGTGGCCTTGGTGCGGCCCCGTCGGGCCTGTTCATGGTCCAGCTCAAGCAGCTCTAGACGCTGGGTCAGTGCCAGCTTCTGCTGGATGGCCATGCGCAGCAGTGAGTTAAGTGTCTTCTTCTCGTCCTCAGCAGCTGCCAGCTGTCGCTGCATCTCATCCAGTTGTGTGATGTACTCATCACACCTGCAAGCACAAGAGGCAAAAACATGTTAGAGGACTGAAAAGCCTGGTAGTAAGTGGATGCAATGGGTAGCCCTGTCTCAGCATCTGTTTGTGACAAGTGCCCCACCTATCTGGGTATAAGTGCAGGGAGAGAAATAGCCACTGTGGTCTGTTCATGAGAATAGTGGCCCTGTGCTGTCCCTCTACAGAGCTAATGACTCAGAGGTAAGCAGGTCTCGGATCTTGCCTCCAAGAAGGCAGGTCTTCAAATGAAACAAGTTGGAAAGAAGGCTTATATAACAGGTACTCAGGGTGCATCCAGTGGAAGTCTGCAACTTTCTTTCCTTGTCTTCACCCCTCCTCCTATGTTGCTGAGAAGTGGGGAGTGCCAGGTACCCAGATGAAGAGAACCACACCCGGAGCTGGGTAGGACCTGTCTAACTAGAAGCTCCAGCCTCCACACCCACATGGGACATCGTGGGCCAGCTGTCCTTCCAACACCTGCCAGCAGAGGGCGCCATATCCCTCTAGATACATAAACACATGGAACCAGGCCTGTATCTCAGTCTGTATGTATATGGGATTGTTCAATTCCTGATTGACCATCAGGAAGGGTATTGAAACTTGCTGCCCTTCCCACCAATCACAACTGGCAGAGTCAGATGAGGAGCACAGGACTTCTGTGGATTCCTTCTGTAGCTACAAACCAAACTCTCACCCAGTTCTGGGAGGCAAAACCTTTATTATTGTTAATGATTGGCCCTTCTGTAACTGACCATCATGCCAACTGGATGGCCTACCCCCACCACCTGTCCCCCACTGAAATTCGTACCTCCAATTAGAGCCATGAGGGCTTATCCTCTAAGCCTAGGACTTTAGCCTCCTCATCATATAAGTAAAATGGAGATAAAACTGGGCCCTTCTTGGTTTCTATGAAGAGAAATGGAAACTCCTTCAAGACCCCTGGGCCCCAAGCAGCAGCAGAAATAGTAAAAGAATCATGGGACACTGAAGTACAGCTTGGCTGGGCCCCAGTACATCCAGCTAGCTTTGACATCCTTGCTCTTGCCCTCCACAATCAAATTACCTGGTGGCAAACATGGCGCGCAGTGAAGAGAAGGTGGCTGCATCCTCCTTGAGTGCCTTGAGCTCGTTGCGCAGCTTCATCATGGTCTCAGTCACCATGGCCTTCTCGTTCTCGTACTTGCTCTTCAGGTTGGCAAGGGCCACTTCGGCTGTCTAGGGTCAGAGATGCACAGGGAGCGCACCTCAGTGAGTGTCACAGGTTGAGAACCCCTCAGTGGGGTCCCCGCTGTTCTAGGACCCCCCCTTAACACACCAACCCCCACAGGCCAAAGCCTAGGCTCTCTACCTACAGCAGCAGGCCTACATGGGATGGTTGCAGGCTTGAAGCAGCCTGCAGGGTCCCCAGGAGGAGGACAGGGGAGGGAGTGGCTGGCGTATGTGGATGAAGAGCTCCCCGACCCCGTTAGTCCCGGAGTATGGGCCTACCTGCTTGTTGGCCTTGAGCACCGTGCGCAGTGTGGTGATCTGCTCCCGCTTGGTGCTGAGCAGAGACTTGAGTTTGAGGATTTCCTCCATGAGAGCCTCCCGGTCCTTGTCAGCAGAGGGGCCCAGCTCCTGTGAGGCCAGACGCTGCCGTGACAGCTCTGTGGTGCGGTCCACAGCCGCCTGCAGGTGCCTGATCTGGTCTCGAATGATGGCAATCAGGTTGTAGATGTTCATGGGCTCCCGGCGTGGATCACTCAGAGGTGAGGGCAGTGAAGAGCCTGGTGAGGGGCTGTTATCCCCAGGCCCACCCTCTGTAGCTGGTGGCCCCTTAGGCAGGATGGGCGAGCGGCGCCCACGAGCTTCAGGACCCTCACGGTAATAGTCCAGCACAACACGGGTGGGCGTCTCGTTGTTACACATGCACACGTGGTGGTACAGGTTGGCCAGCTCTTCACTGAAGGTCACTAATTCATCTTGGGCCACACTCAGGCTGCCCTGTGTCTCACCTGCGACATCGCTCACCTTCTTCAGCTCTGCCTGCAGCCGTGCCAGCAGCTCGCGGTCCTGACGGCTGGCTTTCTCCAGCAGGGAGACCTTTTCCGTGAGTGCTTGGCTCTCAGCCTCATGCCGACCCTTCTCTTCAGCGTGCTGGGCCTCACCAGCTTCATGTGCATTTTGCAGGGCCTTCAGCTGCTCCCGGAGCTCACTGGCCTCTGCCAGGGCCACACGGTACTTGCAAGCCAGGATCTCAGGTCCGTCGATGTCCACCTCATAGTAGTCACCATCCTCATGGCTATCACGTTCCTTCTCACTGTCCAGGGCTGTCCGACGCTCTTTGCCAGCCTGCAGGCGCCTCAGAGCACTCAGGTTTTCTGTGAGGCGGCTCACTTGCTCACATTGCTCTGACAGGGAACCCCGTGCCTGTTCCAGCTGCTTCTGTGTGTCCTGCAGTGTGGCCAGGAGGCCCACTTTCTCCCGCTCCATCTGCAAAGGCACAGAAAGGTTCTTCATGCTCCAAAAGGTTCCTAGACAGTCCTAGCAGAGACTCTGCCTGAATCACAGATGTCACCAAGCATGACATGCATGGTATGGCACGCCTGGGTGGGTGTCATGTAGTGGGCCATCAGGGAGGGAGATCTTTCTTCTTCCCAGAGACTTGGGGATCTGGTTGGGTCACTCTTTAGACACAAGCAACCTAGGATTCATGGTGTCAACCCTAGGGATCCATTCAGTCTTGGGGCAGGAAACCCTGAGGTGACAAATCTATAGGCTACAATGGGGAGACTGCATGTGGGCACTAAGGAGGAACACAGAAAACCTCAACAGCAATCAAAACTCTAACCCCATGATCAGAAACCAACTTCCCTGCCACCTTCACCCGTGACACTGCAGTTCCAAGCATGGCAATGATGCAGCACCTGAAATAAACCTAAGGAAAAGGTTCAGGACGGCATAGTGAGTGCTGCCCCAGTGGCCATTAAGGGGGGTGGTTTACTAGGATGTGGATGTCCAGGATTATGAGGAGATTCAGGAGGGGGGCCCTCTTACCTGCATCAGTTGCTGCTTCAGCTTCTGGATCTCAGAGATGTTGAGCTCACTGAGGAGATCAGATACAAGGCTGGGGGATGGGGGCGCCAGGCCATCCTTGGGGGGTGTGGAGGTCTTGTTGTCTGATGGCAGCTTGGCCAGCCCACCATGCTCAAAGCCGTTGGCCAGGCCCTCAGTGTCCTCGCTGAGCTTGAGTCCATCCAGGGAGACATGCAGATGGCTGGTGTACAGGGAGTCATTGATGCTCATGTAGTGTGACAGCTCCTTACGCAAGCTGTTCTTCTGCTCCCGCTCTGTTTTCAGTGTCTCCAATGCCTCCTCCAGCTGCCGTTCCGAGATCTCCTTGAGCCGGATGGCGTCCTCCAGCTGGCTGTTAAGGTACTCAGTTTCCTCCTCCAGACGCTTGATCTCATGCTTGAGGCCTTCAAACTCCACCTAAGGAGGAAAGACCAACATACTGCTGGGCCTGACCATGCGGCTGGGGACAAGTGCCAGTCTGCTCACTCCATGGCCGGGATGTACACACGCACAGGCTCTTAGCACAAGGACACAGCACCCTACACACTACATGCCCACCCACATCTGAGACAAGTGTGCCTGTAGTATGCATAGGGCAAAAGCCTGAGACTTGCTCAGAGCCAGTGATGCTGTGGAAATCAGAATGAACACATCGATGCTACAAATTTCTTAGGTTACTTACTTCCACTGATGCGGGTGCTGTGGCTGCTCACAACACCCTTACCAGAAACTCCTGGGTTGGAAGAGAGAGAAGCAAAATTCGTACTTGCTGAATTGTATTTGCAAGTAGGCCAGGAAAGAGCAGACAGAAATTGGTATTTGACACTTCTTATTCTGGGCCTCCCTGGTGGCCCAGGGTTAAGACTCAGCACTATCATGCTGTCACCTCTGCAGTCTGACTTTCATCCTCAGCCAGGGAGCTAACCCACCTATGGCGCAGCAGACCTCTCCTGTCTTGTGTGCTGCTTCCCAAAGTGGTATATTTCAGCAAATCTGCCTGTTTTGCTCCCTACTCTGTCTCTGGTGAATTCTCTCAACCCCCGCATCTCTGGCCTGCAACTCAGTCCTTGTATGCATAAATAAAAATAAATCTTAAAAAAAAAGTTAAAAGGGCCTCCCCGGTGGCGCAGCGGTTGAGCGCTGGGTTGCGAAGCTGACAGAAGCCTCCGCGGCACCGGTTCGATCCCCAGCTGCTCCCTGGCCACCGGAGGAGGGTCCCTCATGGCGCGCAGACCTCTCCTGCCGCCTGCTGCTCCCCTCAGCAGTGTACTTCGGTCCTTCTGCCTGCTCTGCTCCCTGCTCTGGTGAATTTTCTCACCCTCCCGCTCTGACTGTACCCAGTGCTTATATAAATAAACAAATCTTTAAAAAAAAAAAAGTTAAAAAAAAAAAGCACTTTTTATTTTGTAGTATTTGTCAAGAAATAAATCTCTCAGAGGCAGGACTGAGCTAATCTGCATGAGTTCGGGTCCCAGGAGAACCCCAGAGAGGGGGTTATACTCTACCTAGAGACACTAGGGCCCAGGGGCAATAACTCTTGAGCCTTGGTCCAGAACGTTGTGTGAGACTACTGATGAGCACAGAGTCACAGTTAGCTGGCAGGGCAAGCCTTGAAGGGTCTGAGTGCCCAGGGTTACCTGGGTATCCTTTTATAGGTGAAAGTGAAATTTCCTGTCTAGTCATGAGTGGGGACAATTCTCTTTATTCCTCCTATTACTAGGCAGAAGTTCCTCAAGGGGGGATGAGTCCAAACTACTCCTTAAGGGCCCCCAGATGCACACTACAATTTCCACATCCCCTCCATCCTGCTTCTTTCCAAGGGTTATCCACAGTTCCAGGACAGCAGAGAGAGCAAGGGAAAGGAGCAACTGGCAAACCTGAGACAGCAGGAGGGATGGGGATGAAGTTAGACACCAGTCTTGGGTTTTTGCTGTCACTTCTTTTTTTTTTTTTTTAAAGATTTATTTATTTATGCATACAAGAACTGGGGTACAGGCCAGAGATGCAGGGGGTGAGAGGATTCACCAGAGACAGAGTGGGGAACAGAACAGGCAGACTGACTGAAATACTCCACGGAGGGGAGCAGCGGGCGAGCCAGGAAAGGTCGGCTTCTCCATATGGGTTGCTCTCTGGCCAGCCGGAGATCAAACTCATGCTGCAGAGGCTGTGGATTGTTTCATAGTGTGGGGTTTAACCCCCTTGTGCCACCAGGGAGGCCCTTTTGCTATCACTTCTTCATCACCTTCCATTTTTGGTGGCGGGGTGCCTTGGCCAGGTCAAAGGTCAGCTAGCACTAGCAGATTTTCTTGGTCTTCGAGGGTCTGGGCCCAGCTGTTGCATCCCAGTCCATAGCAGGTGCATGAGGGAGACTGGGAACACTTCTCACCACAGAGACCTCAATTGAGGGAGGCAGGGACTGTGGTCTAGAGCTAGCCCAACCCCTGCTGGCTGGCTCTACTCACCTGGTTCTGCCTGAGCACTGACACCTGTTTCTGCAGGCTGATGTTTTCCTCCTCCAGCTCCGAGTAGTCCTGCAGCAGGCGGGCCTCCCGGAACTTGTACTCCTTGATGTCATCCCGCAGGCGGCCTCGCTGGATCTCCACATTCTGGTTGATCTGCCAGCAAGACAGGAGTGATAGTGAGCAGCCATTCAAGGCCAGCCCCACCACCCCTGGGACACAGGGGTCTCAGTGAAACTAGGCTTGTTGTGGTGTTTGGGGCCCTGGGCAGTGTGGTGTGGGGGTAAAGTGGAGGGTCTCTGCCTGCCTGACCTACAGTTTAAAAGTTGTTCCTCCCTCACATATTACTGGTAGGATGAGGTGTCAGCTCTGTGGACGGAGGTCAACAGAGAACTGCCAGCTAATGCACATGTCCTTCCTCAGCACATACCCCAGAGATGAGAAAACATATATCCCCACAAAAACTTGTGCATAAATGTTCAAACAGCACTCTTCACAAGGGTGAAAGGTGGGGATAGCCCAGTGATGAACAAATAGACAATAAGTGGTCAATCCATACAACGGAATATTCAGCCTCAACAAGGAGTGATGTGTTGTAACAAGCATGAGCCCTGTAAACATGATTATTAGTGAGAGAAGCCAAACACAAGAGGTCGTGGATTGTGATTCCACTGATACCAAGTATCCAGAACAGGCATATCCAGAGATGGTAAGTTGAGGAGTGGTTGCCAAAAGGGATAGAGAGTAGCTGCTAAAAGTTTTCTTTTGAGGGTGGTGAAATATCCTAAATTGGTTTGGGACAGTGCACATATGTGTGAACATACTAAAAACCACTAAACTCTACACACCTTACGTGGTGAGTGGTAAAGTGTATGATCATCCCCATGAAGATGTTAAGAAACAGTCCCGCTTTCAGCGGCCTCCAGAATTCAGATGTCATGCAGGGAAGAGGCAATCGTAACCAAGACTGCCAGGAATTCTCAACCTGCAGCCACCGTGGGCCAGGGCTGAACCATCACCTCAGCCCTGGAGACACGTGGGCCATCCAGCATGTCGTAGGATGTTTAGCTGACCTCTGCCTGGATGAAGCTCCTCCTCTGTTGTGCCAACTGAAACTGTCTCCAGTCCCCTAGGGACTGATCCATCCCTAGACAAACTATCTCCCTAAATGTCCCCTGCTCTCATCACTCCAACTGGGCACCCTCCCATCTGCAAAAGTCTGATGCCCCCAGGCAGGGCGACTTTTGGACAACAGGCTCACCCTCTGGCCCTACAGCTAGCTCCCTCTCTTTGCAGCACACTGCTCGCCACTCCTGCTTCTTTTTCTCATGATCCTATCCACAGCACACACTATGAGACATGAACCTCAGATTTCATGCAGGTACATACAAAACAAAGTAATGCTGGATTAGCAAAATGAATTAGGACCAAAAAGAAAGAAAAGACAAAAGAGCAAGCCACAGAGAGGGAGAGTTGTCATTTATAGTAAGCCCTCCTGACAAAGCTTACACCATATTGTGTCGAGAACTGATGGGATGGTAAGTTACCAACAGGAGGAAGCAGGGCCACCAAGAAATCAAATTCCTTTAAGTAAGCAAAAATAAACAAAAATGACAGCAAGTGGCAATGTGAGGAAACACAGACTTGCTTCCACTTATCTGGAGAGGCAGTTGGAAATCCCTGACAGTTTCCCATACAACCTGTCACTGGTGTGGCCCTCATTTAATATCCCGGGAAAAAAATAAATGTGGATCCTGGTGGTTCATTTTAATGTCACCTTGGCTAGGTGATATTTGGTCAAACACCAGTCCAGGTGGTGCTAGGCAGGTATTTTTTAGATAAGACTAACATTAAATCAGTCAACTTAAAGCAGATTCCCTCCTATGGATGGAACTCATCCAGACAGCTTAAAGTCTTAAGAAAAAACCACAACCACAACAAAAAACAAAACCCGCTGAGATTCCCCTAAGGTGGGGAAACAGAAGTCTTGAGCTGCAACACTCTCTCTTCCCTGGTCTCTAGTCTGTGGCTCCAACCTGAAGATTTTGGACTGCCCATCCATAAACATGTGAACAAATTCCTTATAATAGTGTGTGCATGCTCTCCCTCTCCCTCCCTCTCTGCAGCACACACGTGACACCAGGCACCCACCCGCTCCAGACCCACCACTACCCTGGGCTCATGACAAAATACCCAGCTTTCTCCCATAGGTTCCTGCAGCCCAGGTACCAGCACCACAGGCTTGGGTGGAAGGGACTCCTGGGGGCATGTGGGGTCCACCAGGACGGGAAGTTCATCTGGAGGACCCCAACTCAAGCCCACCTGCTAAAGGGCAGCCCCATTGCTTCCCAGAGCAAATTCATGATAGCCCAGCATGTGTACAGCATGCCTCTGCCTGCTGCTGATGGATCTCCGGGGCTTTGCTACTCTATCTGCAAAGTGGGACCCAATGCCACCTCCCAGGACAGAAGCCGGCCAGGTCTATCCACAGAGTACACAGGTCAGGACCCCAGAGTCACCAGATGGGTGACATTGGATACGCAACCAAATCTTTGGCCTCTCAGTTTCCACAACTGTGAGATGAGGGAAGTAATCAGATATGCTAGGGTCACCAGAGAAGAGTTTTGGGGCAACTGAAACACTACATACTGTCATGAACAGAGGCTGCAGGATCCTCCCAGCAAGGGAACAACAGCCTTGCTGGTCATCAGAGGAGAAGGATGGCTGGGGGCTGGGTCAGAGGGCATCAGTCACTTAGTACAGATGGTGGCAACACTGGTACTGGGAGGTAGACACCCTCCTTGTGAAAGGGGCATCTCCTGGGACAACCCTGGGACAAGCCTATGCCATGTCGGGCCTAGGCTGGCACTTGAACTGGGAAGGCAGCTGGCATTGTGTCCTCACTATCCAGACTCCTCAGCTGGGCCAGAGCCGTGGGAAGATATGTGGGGTAGGGACAGAGTCTGGTGACAGTAGGGATACTTACTTGGACTTGGGTACGAACAGATGGTGCTGGGGAGTCCTCCACCCCAATCAGGAACCTAGAGGGCCTCCATAGCCCTCAGAGGGCAGAAGAGGCTAGTGGTGCTTAAGGAGGGCAGGCTTTCTCCTAAAGTCCAGAAGAAACAGCAGGAACCCCAGTCCCACTTCCTGCCACCCAAACCAGAAGTCAGCAAGCCCCTGATAGCCCTGGACAGACCCTCCTGGGAGGAGGTCAAGGGGACACAGTAGGCTGGCACAGTGCCTGCACTAGCTTTTCCTGAAAGGTGGGGCCTGGTAGCAGCTGAAACAGTCTCCCCCTCATCAAGGTCAAACCCATAGCCCTGAGCAGAGCAATCCTGTGGGAGGAAATGAGATCATACACCCAGCTCCAGGCCTCTGACAATAGCCCATCCCCTGGAAGCAAGCCCAGCTCTTGCCTGGCCACAGGCTTCAGCAATATCTGACCCAAACAGGGGAGTGACTCCCATGCTGCTGTCAGCCCCCAGGCTCCACCCCAAACCTCACCAATGACCTCTGCCAGCACTCAGGATCCTGACCACAGCTCAGAACCATCTGCCCATCTGTTCACCTGTCCCTGCAGAGAGTGGGTCTCCCTGCAGCCTGGAACAAAGTCCCTTGCCATTTCACAGTGAGGACCTGGTGGAGGGGTCAGATCACAGGAACCCTGAGGTCATGGATGGTAGCTCATACAGATCGTCTAGCAACACATGCTATCCTGTCTGCTGCTGTCCCACCACATGGTGATGGCAGCCCACCCTTCTCCTGTCACTGCTGTGGCTCTTCTCTGGGGCCCCCTCCACTAGGACTCTGGGAGAACTGGCTTAGTGTGGCACACTGGTTACCTCCTTTAGCTCCTGGGCCACAGAGGTCAGGCGCTCATTCTCAGATTGTGTGTTGGTGAGTACGTTGCGCAGCTGCTTCAGTTCTGTTTGCAGCTCTAGAACCTTCCGCACATAGTACTGTTCCTTGGAGGCTGACTCCTGGATCAGACTTTCCTCCCGGCTCTCGCCATCCGCAGCCACCTTCTTGTGGTTTGTGTGTGCCTGTCCGAATGCCTGCAAGGGAGACCAGATGCTTGTGAGAAGGTGCCTGGACCCAAATGCCACCCCACAGCCAGATACCATGAGGGGAGATGGATGCCATGTAGCTAGTGTGCCAACCTGAACACAGAGGGAGCTAGATATGGAGCAAGACCCCTTAGTGGTATGTGGGACAGGAGGCTCCAGTTGCCATCTCTGCAATGCAGGACCACCTTTGCAGTCAGGGCCCCTGCCCCTAGGAGGCGGGCAGGAGAGCCTCCAGAAACACCTGACCCAACCAACAAGGAATGAATGCTAGAAGCTGCCCACACATCACCCCATCTCTCCTTCAGGGTAGGGAAACCAAGGCACAGGGAGGCGGGGGCCACTCCAGATGGAGTCTGCCCTTCTGGATGCCAGATTCTAACCCCCCTATCTCTACCCATTCTGGAAGAACCTCCATGCGCTAGAAGGCTAGAAAGATGGGTGCCAGGCCAAGCTGGTGTGCAGGGGACTGGAGCGTGACCCAGGACACTTAGACCAGCCCAGACAGGCAACCATGCAAACCTGAGAAAGGAGACCCCACCTGCTTGCCCAGGGCCCGGGGTGAAATTGGGAGGTGAAAATATCAAAGGAAGGAGAACATTGTTACCCCAGAACAGCAAGGGTTGAAGAGACCATGAGGTGAGATGCCCCTTCCCTCCCACAGAGCAGGATGGGACCACGAGGCGAGTCATGGTGTCATCACTAAGCAGACTCTGAGGGATCATCTCTTTCCAGGGGTCCCAGATCATGGAGAGAACACAATGAGAGGGTTGCCTTTATCTCTTAAAAGAGAAAAGGAACTTTCCACCTTTCACTAGAAGGAGTGACGTCAAGGGATTTCATCGAAGAAAACAACTGGGAAATGCACACGGCAATATACAAGATGTTACTGAGCAGGACTGTTTCTGACATGAAAAACAGATCATAGAAAGTGACTCATTTCTCTGCCAACAGGAATGGCTAATGGAGCAGGGTCTGGACTGGGGCTTTCTCCTGTGGAATTCCTGAGGCACAGACACCACAGCAGGCCTGCTTACCAGGGTCTCTCAAACCTGCAGACAGGCCTAACCAGGCCAATTGAGCAGGCTGTGCCCATCATGCTCTGGCTGGCACTAGACAGCTCACGAGGCATTGTATCACCATCACAGGGATGCTAAACACTGTGCACTACCCCCTCCCCTCAACTACCCACAAGTTCATGCCTGCCAGCCTCAGCCTGAATCTTCACCTCCGCCCAGTTTCCAGCCTGGGGCCCATGAGCACCTGGGCAGCTTTTCAAAGACAGACTGATGGAGACTTGACCTCAAGCCAAGATGAGACCATCCATAGGAACTGGATGTCCTTTCTTGGTGGAAAACTGAAAAATAACCAGAAAATTATGAGACTACACAAAGGCTTTCAGGCCACTGGGCACCAGGTAAGGAGAGGCAGGACTCAGGTGAGTTCCATGATGGGTCTCCCAGAAGGAAGCTGCAGAGAAGGCAGGCAGGCAGAGGCAGTGGTAGCCTGTACATAAAAAGGCCAGTGTAAGCCTGTGGGTCCTGAGGTCAGAAATGAGGAACCAGAGGGACTGAGGGGCAACTCCACCACTCACAAAGGCAGCAGGTAGAGCTGGCTAATGCTCGTGTCCAACCAACAAAGCTTAAGGGCAAAACCTGGAGGGATCAGGCTGTTTCCAAGTAACTTAACTACACCCCAGAACAAAGGAGAACACACCCAGGAGTAAAAGCACCATCTCCCAGCACTGAGCACTGGCACCTCGCCCACTGCGGGGCAGCAGGCCAGCCCACAAGAACAAGGCAAGTTTAGAGGGACACAGTGATAGGGCTGGATGGAGCAGGACTGGTTTTCATGGAAAATGCTAATGATGGAATTCCAACAAGTGAGGTGAGAGGTACACAGGATGGGACCAACGCAAAAGAAAAGATGAGTAAACATGAAGAAATGGCAATAAGGCTACCAAAAATGAAACACATGGGATGGTTCAAGGAGGCCAGCCCACGGCAGCTGGAGGCTCCAGGGAGAGGAAAGAGGTACTGAGAAAAAGTATCTGCTGCAAAACCTCCAGAGTTGATGGAAACCCACAAATACTATCAGCTTGTCAACCCCGAGCACAAGAAATATGAAGAACATATTGCCAAGGCACATCACAAATTGTTTGAAACCAGTGATGCAGAGAAAATACCAAGATCAGTCAGAGAAAAAAAGGAAACGCTGTGACAAGGAGTCTGTTTGACAGTAGAGGACAGGGGCGCAACACCTTGAGAAAACCAGCACTGCTGTCAGTGAAAACTGCTCACAAGCTAAGGTAAGATAAAGACTCCAGACACACAACAGCTGAACAAATTCATCACCAGCGGAACTGCATCATAAAGTGTTAACTAAAATCCTTCAGGCAGAAGAAAAACAATCCTGATGGAAATCTGGATTAACAAGGAGGAATGAAAAGCACCAGATATGAAACCATGTGGGCAAGCAGAAAAGACTTTTTTCTTTTTACTAAAATCTTTTCAAAAAATAATTAACTAGGGGCCTCCCCGTTGGCGCAGTGGGTTGAGCAAAGTGCTGTGAAGCTGTCCGCAGCCTCTGTAGTGCTGGTTCAATTCCCGGCCAGCTAGAGAGAAACCCACATGGCGCCGCAGACCTCTCCTATCTCGCCCGCTGCTCCCCTCAGCAGTGCTTTTGGTCCGTCTGCCTGTTCTGCTCCCCGCTCTGTCTTTGGTGAATCCTCTCACCCTCCAGCGACTCTGGCCTGCACTCCAGCTCTTGTATAAATAAAACAAATCTTTAAAAATAAATAAATAAATATAATTAACTAAAGGCCTTCCTTAGAGGCGCAGGGGTTAAAGTCTCAGCACCATCAAGCTACTGTCAGCCATAGTGGCATAAGTGTCCATCCCCAGCCAGGGAGCTAACCCTGGCACAGCAGACCTCTCCTGTCTCACATGCCCACTGCTCCCCTCAGTACTGGATCTGTCTCTCAGTAGATCCACCTGTTCTGCTCCCCACTCGGTCTCTAGTGAATCCTCTCATCCCCTGCACCTCTGGCCTAGACCCCAGTTTGTGTAAATAATAATAAAGTTCTTGTAACATGAATAATAAAATTAAATCTTAAAAATATAATTAATTAAAGATTCAATGCAATTCCTATCAAAATTCCAATGACCTTTTTTTGCAGAAATGGAAATTCATAAGGAATTGCATGGAGCCCAGAAAAACTAAAATAACATTGAAAACAAAATAGGAATTCAAGAGGCCTCCCCGGGTGGCGCAGCGGTTGAGCGCTGGGCGAGGGTCCCACATGGCGTGCAGACCTCTCCTGCCACCCGCTGCTCCCCTTAGCAGTGTATTTCATCAGTCTGCCTGTTCTGCTCTCCGCTCTGGCTCTGGTGAATTCTCTCACCCTCCCGCGCTTCTGACTGTACCCAGTGCTTGTATAAACAAATAAATAAAACAATAACAACAACAAAACAAAAAAAAAAAACAAAATAGGAACTCAAATTTCCAAGTTCAGAATTTCAATCAAGGTTATAGTGATTAAAAACAATGTGGTACTGGACAGACATAAGCACCCATGGAGCAGAAGAGTCCAGAAATCAGCATCCACATATGTGGTCAATTGACTTTGACATGGGCACAAATATAATTCAGTGATGAAATTGGGCCAAAAGGAAACTCATGTGCAATATATAATGAAGTTGGAATGCCACCCCACACAATACACAAAAATTAAATCAAAATGGATCAGAGACCAAAATGTAAGAACTGAAACTACAACTCTAAGAAGAAAACACAAGGCTAAATCTTCATGACCTTGTCAAAATGAGCAACAGCAAAATAAAATGGATTTCATAAAAAAAATTTAAATTGTCTATCAAAAGACAATATCAAGTGAAAAGACAAACTGGGCAATAGGAGAAAGCATTTTCAAATTTCGTATTTGAAGAAAGTCTAGTATCCAGAACACATAAACTCCTACAACTCAGCAATAAAAAAAGAACCTAATTTAAAAATGGGCCAAAGATTTGTCTAGACAGTCCTCAAAGAAGAGAGATGAATGGCTTAACAAAGCTCATGAAAAGACACTCAACATCACTAATCATTGGGGAAATGTGTCAAAACCACAACAAGAACACCTCACACCCACAAAACAACTGAAAATCACAAAGCTGGTAAAGATGTGGGAAAACTGGCACCATCACATATTGCTGAGGTACACAGGTAAACCTTTCTCTAATGCATGTTTTATAAATTGAAGATTTGTGGCAACCTTGCATGGAGCACGTCCATCAGTATTATTTGTCCAAAAACATGTCTCCATGTCACACTGTCGTGATTCTCACAATATTTCACTTTTTCATTACTATTATTATTATATTGTATATATATAATATACATATATCATTATGTATATTATGGTGACCTGTGATCAATGATCTTTATGTTTCTACTGTAACCCTCCACCAGTAAAAAGATCATGACTTGCTGAAGGCTCTTGTGATACTTATACTTTATTTTTTTAGCAATAAAGTATTTTTGAAGGTACAAACATTGCTTTTTGAGACATAACACTTCACACTTAACAGACTACAGCATAGTGTAAGCACAACTTTTATATGCACTGAAACAAAAAACCTCATGTGACTCACTTTGTTTTGACATTCACTTTATTGCAGAGGTCTGCAACTGAACCACAGTATCTCTGAAGTGCATATATAAAATGGTGAGGCCATTGTGAAAAAATTAAATACAGACTACTATATAAACTAGCAATTCTACACTCCCAGGTATATTTACCCAAGAAAAATGAACACATATATTCACACAAAAACTTGCATACAATGTTCATAATAGCAAAAAAGTGGAAACAACTCAAATGTCCACCAAGCAGTGAAAGCCTAAATAAAATGTGGTCCATCCAGTCTATCCATACCACAAAACATTACCTGGTAATAAAAAATGAATTGCTGATACATGTTACAACACACATG